CACATCTCATTGAAGTAAGGATTATCAAATAATAGTTGAAATGACAATCAAAAGTAATTTTTCGAATTTGACGAGAGAAGCACCAGATCCAATTGTGGAGACTATGACCAAGTACGCACAAGATAGTTCACCAGAAAAAATTGATGTCTCTATAGGTGTCTATAAAGGAGAGAAGGGAGAGTCGTATGTGTTCCCAGCGGTCTCTAAGGCAAAGAAACATTTATTTGAAAATGATCCTGGACATAGCTATACCAATATGGCAGGTATTCCAGAATACACCAGAGGAGCACGTAAGGTTGTGTTCGGGGAAAGATATGCCAACGAAGGTAAAATTGCATCATTGCAGACTATTTCAGGGACTGGGGCATGTCACATGGCATTTCTCCTTCTTCGTGAAGCTGGTTTGACCAACTTTTATATTGGAACACCATGTTGGTCTAACTATGGACCAATGATCTCCCATGTGGGTTCCACATATTCCACATACACTCACTACGATGAAAAGATTCGTGGTATTGATTTTGATGCTGTTCTCGAAGCTCTTAATAATGCACCATCGAAGTCTGTTTTTTTATTTCAAGCCTGTTGCCATAATCCTACAGGTGCAGACTTTTCTAAAGATCAATGGAAGCGAATTGCTTCCATCGTCAAGTCCAGGGATATTTTCCCTGTTTTTGATATTGCATACCAAGGATTTTCAAGCGGTGATAAAGATGTCGATGCTTGGCCTGTAAGATATTTCTACGAGCAAAATTTGGAATTTTTAGTTTGTCAATCATTCTCGAAGAATATGGGATTATACAGTGAAAGAACAGGCTGTCTTCATGCGGTGGTTCAAGATCTAGATTATGTCCCAAATGTTCAGAGTCAACTTGTGGCTCTCTTTAGATCGGAATGTTCTTTTGCTCCAGCATTTGGTGCAAGAATTGCCAGTATTATCATTAACGAACCTGACTTAGAAAAAGAATGGAGTCAAGAAGTGTCTGATGTAACTACAAGAATTGAATAATATCAGAAAAAAAATCTTAGATAGATTCCTCGAATTAGGTACCCCTGGTAAGTGGGATCATGTAGTTAAGCAGCAGGGGTTGTTTTGGTATTCTGGATTATCACCTGAACAAAACGATAAACTTATCGAAGATCATCACATATACTCGACTTCAATTGGCAGAGTTAATATTGCAGGGTTAAATGAAAAGAGTGTTGATAAGTTCGTTGACGCCATTGACAAAGTTGTCAGAGATACTATCGGTTAGTTTAGTTTAGTTAAGGGTTTGGTATTTAAAGTAAATAATGAAGAATATAAAATCTAACTATGCAACTATATTGGTACTTCCGCAAAATGTGAAGTAAATAATGATTAAAGAAATTCTTGAACAACTGAACTAAATGTCAGCTACTACTTGTAAACAAAAAATCATCATAATTTTCTATGATGAATTTTCTTTAGGTGAGCTTTTAAATTGTCTTTTCTATTGAATCTCTTTCCACAGTTTGGTTCATCACATTCATAAGGCTTCTCTGAAGAATGACTTTTCAAATGCCTTTTGACGTGTTCTGGTCTCTGGAATCTAGCTTGACAAAGTGGACATGAATGCTTCTTTTTAGGATCAATCACATCTGTCTTGTCAGACACCTTAATAGGAAGTTTTAAGTCCTGTGGAGATGGTATAAATGTTTCAGGTGTTGCATGTGCAGATTGGCCCGAGGAAACTGAAAATGTAGCCATTGCAGGTAAACCGTTGGTTGTATTATTAGGAGATGCAGAACTAATAGTGGAAATGTTTTGAACACTATTTGAATTCATTGGAGAAGTGGCTATAGAAGCCAAGTCAATTGACGCTGGATATGATTTTGTAAAAGAAGTGTTTTGTGAATGGTTTGCTCTTGGATTATTTTTAATTAATTTTTCATCTGTTAAATGATTAGAATTAAATTGTGGCAGTAACAAATCAATACTCGGTGCCTTGTACTGATGATTTGAATATTTTAATTCAAAGTCACTTGTTGAAGCTCCAGCTGTAGAAGGAACCGAAAATGACGTCGCCGGAGGAACATTGTTGGACAATACACTATATGAGCGTGATGGAGAATTATGTGAAGTCATGGCTCCAGGAGTTGAATTTGAAGACACAATAGTATCGGGAACTTCACCATTTGGATTAGACACCAATTGTGAGGCAAGTTTCAATGATAAATCGGCCGCATTCAAGAACATATCATCGTCCTTCTTTATATCACCAATCTCTGGTTTGTCCATTAATGACTTTTCCAACATTCTATAATTATTACCACTATCATCTTCCATAAATCCTGGTTTTTTCGTTTCATTAGACATAAATTTAGAACTTACAAAATTAGTGTAAGATTTTGCCTTCCCTAACTGCTTAAAAGCATCATCATCTTGATCTTCAATCTTTATAGAATCTAATGTATCATTTCTTTTTAATACCATAGGGGTTGTAAATGATGTATTGGTCTTATGACTACTAGTACCACTACTTGAATGATAATTCAAATTATTCGCCACAGGACTCAAGTAATTGAATTGTTGGTATGAAGAATTTCCCTGGTTGTACCATTGTGGGTTCGTTTGATTACTAGAACTTGGTGTAAGCAAGGGTGTTCCAAAATCATCGAAGTCGCCTAACTTATCAAGGTGAGGCGAAACATACGATGGAGTGTAGAAAGGATTAAGCCCGGGGTAATTTGATGAATTCTGAGCTGGAGTTGTTATTTTTTGTCCGGTCGAAGGATTATTCACTAGCAATGAATTATTCGTCGCATCGATTGATAATCTAGATCTAGATCTACTATGACCTTTAGTTTTCAGCGAATGAGGAGTCTTTCCAACTTTGCTACTTGCTGTAGAAAGAAGATTTACAGGAGATAAGCTGAGATTATTTGGACCTCTTGATGGAGTAGCAAACGCATTATAGTTATTACAAGAAGAAACAGACATCGACTTATTGCGGCCTATTCTTCTTGGTGTGTTCTGGGGTGGAACATGCAGCAGTTGTTGTTTTTGGTGTGTATTATGCTTTATGGAGGATGGTGAATCCAGGAACGACTGATATGAGAGGGATGATGATAATTGTGGTATAGAATCCCCCGAATACAATGTGTTATTAGAACCCGATTGGTTTATATGGTCAGCATCATACTGGCTAGGTGCATCTTGTGACAAAGATACCATAGATGAAGTGGATAAATTTGACTGATGAGAAATTTTGCTATACATGTTTCCTCCGTCAAGTGAAATATTCTTCGAATGCTGAAAGCGATGGTTGTTATTATAATACCCATTGGAAATATTCGATCCCAAGTTGTTGGATATGGGTACTATATCATGCAATGATTCCTGGCTTGGATAGTCGAGTCCATAGAACTCGACATTATCAGCCTGCAATGTAATATCATCGTGGTCTGTATTAGACTCCCGAGAAGTAGTATTATTTTGGTCGTCATTGAACAACTCTCCATGATCCAAATCTAACAATCCAGTGTCATTCCCAATGTCGAATCCCTGTGAAAGCTGTGTTGGTGAACTAACCAAGAACTTATCCATTATACTGCTTCTTCGTCCACACTCTCAATTATTACTCACGAATGAAAAAAATAGATTTCACTAAAATGTATCTCTAGTAATCTAGATCAAATACTCGCCCTACTTTCTCAACCGTGCAAGTCTCTGCCTTCTTGTTCAGCGATCGTTTGTGGCTTCAACTTTCTGCTCCGATTCCCAAACGAAGCGTAACTTTCAAAAATTTTCAGCAAGAAATAAGCCTAAGAACAAATCAACAAAAAAGTGCCCAACCAACTAATATACTCCACTTAAGTGCAAGATTGTTTGTACTTAAAGGTGTTTTGTAGGTAAGTTTCGATGTCAACTGAATAAATTAACTACCCTAGTATCGGTGAAAAATGATTATTTCCACTAACGACATCCAATTTGTTAGCAAAGATGGATAAACGACATTTTTGAATCATATTTCCGAGGGCAGTGCCGTACCTAACAGCAAGAGTCCAATGCAGGCTAAAGGTGCTAAACGATAATTTTGAACGGGGAAAACTATTTCCGGTCAGCAACCATGCTGGACTATGCCGAGATTTTTGGAACCATATTCCGACTGCCCATACTAATTTAACGCGTCAAGCAAAAAAGACATCAAGAACTTCGCCATGAACAAACCGGATCGGCGATAACTAATGAGGAAACAGGTCTACTCTACAACATCGATGTTTACAAGGCGTGAGAATTTACGCACATAATAGACCAAGATATGTATAGCGCTAAATATAGCTCAAGCTATATTAACTAATGTAATAAGCTTATCTTCGAAAATTTGCCTTAGATATTGGGTGTTCGATATAACTTCTCGGCAACGTCTATATATAGATTGTGTTTTGAATCAAAATTCTAACTCAAAAATATTATCATCGCCATGTCTAATATAAGCCTCTTCGACTAATCCACGAGTGAGTTGAATCCATTAAATTACATATTTAAGTACATATAACCCGCAATTAATAAAATTCACTAACAGGTAATATCGCCAACTGCAGGACTTATGTATAATGATCAATAATAGAGACTAGTGAAACGAAATTGCACTCAATGGAAGAATTTCAAAATGCTGCATTTATACCCTGGGAACTTCCGAGGGTTAACGCGCGTTTCGGCGTATTCTAGGCAAAAGCTAAATGGAATCTGTAGAAGAACAGTTACATATATTCTATGTCATATGAACAGATTTAAAGCAATTAACGTCCAGATAATCTTAATTGAGAAGAAGAGAAATACATTAACGCGTTGATTATTTTAAATATACGGCACTTCTATGTCACATACAAAAATGTATAGAAAACAGAGTAATGGTAGCATAGTTTATCCGAGGTACCCTACAATTGACAAAGTCAATGAACCAGGAATCAGAGATGATGTATGACAGTAATGTCGTTGTAATCACAGAAGAAGCGGCGTTTATATTTGCAGAGAACGGCCCCAGATGTTTGAATGTGAGGTGGAAATTGCGACTATAAGCAAGCTTGGATTCACATGGCATTGTCCGCCTCGGTGATTCGGATGTAAGATAAAAAGCAGATTCCAGTGTAAACCACATCTCAAGCTTCGAAATGTCTCTATGCAATCATAGTCGGTCCCGCTATATGATACACTGACCTTTTAACTAGGGTTGTAATGATATGGTGGTGGAGTTATGTCTCTCCCACTTTTAGTTTCGCAACCACTAAATAGATGTCGCGTGCTCTTTAACCTAAAGAGGGAACCGACATTCTTTGGGAAAAAGAGACATCTAGGAACCATTTTATTCAGATTAGGGCTACGTGAGCTACGAACTATATCGAGTGGGCTATTCTCGCCCTGTTGTGAAGAGTTCTTGTGATCTTGATATTTGCGTTCTACTTTTCACTTTCATTGTGAAAATTCTAACAAAGTCTACGGCTTCTAAGCACTTGCAATAAAAACTTTCATTCACCATTATATACGTTTATAAATAATTCAATCGATTACATAAAAGAATTATGGGTTTTGCTTAACGAAGTCAACACCCTTTTGGATGTTCTTGATCAAGGTGTCCTTGGCTTCCTTGACTAATTTTTCTTCGTGGTCGGATAATTCACCTAATTGGTGAACAGTACTGACACCATCTTGGCCTAAAGTGACCTTAGAGGAGAAGAAATCGACACCTTCGTCCTTGAATAATGGAGAGTCAACGAAAGATGGTTCGACAATATCCTTTTCACCGGCTAAACCGTCTAAGACAGCACCAGCGAATCTAGCACCAGCTTGGGCCATAGATAAGGTAGCGGAACCAGCACCGTTCTTGGCTTGGACAACTTCGTCACCACCGAATTGGATTCTGTGGATCAAAGCGTCTCTGGTTTCTTGGTCCAAACTCTTGTGTTCGGTTTGGGACAATAATGGGACAATGGTGATACCGGAGTGACCACCAACAACAGTGACCTTTTCGTGAACTGGGTTGGAACCAGCGACTTCAGAGACAAATCTAGAAGCTCTTAAGACGTCTAAGGTGGTAACACCGAACAACTTCTTTGGGTTGTAGGTACCCTTGGACTTCAAGACTTCGGCAACAATTGGAACAGTAGAGTTAACTGGGTTGGAGATAACACAAACGGCAGCATTTGGAGCGTAGTCAGCAGCAGCCTTAGCTAAGTCTCTGACAATAGAAGCATTGGTGTTGAATAAATCATCTCTGGTCATACCTGGCTTTCTTGGGACACCAGCTGGGATAACAATAACGTCTGATCCAGTCAAAGCTTGTTCTAAGCCTTCTGGGTCGTAACCACTGACAGTGGAGTTGGTTGGGATATGCGAAACATCAGCAGCGACACCTGGGGCACCCCTTAAATCGTATAAAGCTAAATCGGTAACTTTGTGGTTTAACTTTAATAATAATGATAATGGTTGACCAATACCACCGTTAGCACCTAAAACAGCAACCTTGTAGGCAGAAGAGGCAGAAGAAGAAAATGATCTGGTAGCGACTTTAGTAAACATTTTAATATATGAATATTATTTCAATTGACAATTAAAAGTAATTAAAGAAAAGAAAAAAACTTCATAGAATATTAGGACTTAAATATGAATTTTCACCCTGGCAATCTCCAGGTTTCGTCGGATAGACTGTGTGTCCAATGTCCACGGTTTGCGAAATTGACCAATAAAATATCGTGATAGTATTTACCGAGCTTAGCCGAACAAATCAAATTATATACAGGGGACACACATACATCGATTACTCCTAAGATGGCTATTGGGTTCTTTAGCTCAACGTCTATGGGGACATGCTGCGGAGACTGACGACATACGTTGCAGTAACAAACTGATATTAGTAATGGGTTCTTTCTACAGCTTTGTCGAGTGTTTTAGCAGCCAGTGTAGAAGTCGCACAAACCAGCTGCAATAAGTTGAAGCCTGTATTAAACACCGATCTGAGGACTTAAGCCGATAGAACTAGGTTATAGGAATTAACGTAAGTCACTTGAGTGAAATAATTGTGGTCGGAAAGACGGAATTTACGGTACGTTTGTTGAGATTGGTATAAAGTCCTTCAAGACAATTTTGCCTATTTTTCACAAAACTAGAGAAATTATGTAAAAAAGTTTGTAAGAAATGAAAAAGGTCGCAAAATGGTAAAAGTTATTGACCTTAACCCCTTGAAATATAGGAAAGGATCAATAGATATCGGATTAATGCTTTAAGGGGAATTTGCTTTATAGATTTAAATAGAGTAATATATCCCTATCTGGCTTCATCAGCCAAAATATAAATAGGTAATAAAAGTAGTTAAGAGAAGTATATCCCACAAGATATCCTTATAATCATCGCTACATAAAATATAAGTTTAAGTACTGCCAACTCAGTTAATTACCGAGCGAACTGTGCTAATATCCATATACGTAGCGTATATATATTCAGGCATATTCACTTAC